CCGTGGTCCAGCCCAATAGTGATGGTCCCCAAACCCAATGGCACCCACCGTTTCTGCAACGACTTCAGGAAACTCAACGAGATCTCCAAGTTCGACGGATACCCCATGCCTCGGGTGGACGAGCTGCTGGATAGGCTGGGTGGAGCCCGTTTTATCTCCACCATCAACCTCACCAAAGGCTACTGGCAATTACCACTAAGTGCAGACGCCAAGGAGAAAACCGCCTTCTCCACACCCGGTGGGGACTGGCAATACCGGTTTCTTCCCTTCGGGCTCCAAGGGGCCCCAGCCACATTCCAAAGAATGATGGATATCCTGCTGAGGCCCCACCAGCCATATGCAGCAGCATACCTGGACGACCTCATCGTCCATTCCGAGTCATGGGAGGAACATCTATCCCGGTTACGGAGGGTGCTCTTAGATCTTCGACGGGCTGGGCTCACAGCTAATCCCAAGAAATGCCACCTGGGGCTAGCCGAAGCCAGATACCTCAGGTACCACATTGGAAGAGGTCTCATACAGCCACAACAAAACAAGGTCAAAGCACTACAAGAACCTCCACAACCCACCACAAAGACCCAGGTACGTGCATTTCTGGGGTTAGCGGGCTACTATAGATGTTTCATACCTAACTTCTCATCCATAGCCAGCCCTCTGACAGACCTGACCAGAAAGGGGCAGCCGGAGAGGATACGATTTAGCAAGGAAGCAGACGACGCGTTCCAAGCCCTGAAGACGGCCCTCACATCCTCACCGGTACTGCACGCACCTGACTTCGGCTGCCCCTTCATTCTTCAGACGGATGCTTCCGACTCGGGCCTGGGCGCGCTCCTCTCCCAGGTCCACGGCGATGAAGAACATCCCATCATGTACGTGAGTCGGAAGCTTACCCCCGCAGAGACCTGCTACGCAACGGTGGAGAAGGAGGCCCTGGCGATCAAGTTAGCAATCCTGGAGCTCAGGTACTATCTCCTTGGCAGGAAATTCACCCTGGTGACCGACCACGCCCCGCTACAATGGATGGCTACAGCAAAGAACAACAACACTCGGGTCACCAGATGTTTCCTGTCGCTCCAGGATTTCAACTTCGACGTTCAACATCGAGCCGGGGCCTCCCACGGAAACGCAGATGGCTCTGGTCAGGATGGGCAGGTCTGTCAAAACATTCTACCCCCCCTCTCAATACACTGCTCTTTCTTCGCAGAAGACCCAGGACCAGGACGACGCTAAGGGGGGGGGGGTGGGGGGGGGAGATTTAGCGAGCCTACTGATGCCACGTCGCCCTGGTCACAAATTCACCCCAGCTGGCAACTCATCAGCACCGGATCGCTCACAGCTGGACCTCATCAGCCAGGGAGAGATAAAAGCCAGCCCCACACAGGAGGAAACTGAGCTTCATTTCCACATGACTCCCTGCGCTAACGCTTGTCTCTCTCTGTCTCTCCCACAGCCGAATCCAGCTCGTGACCGATCCAACACCAGAACTCTCACCAGCCTTCACCATCTCCCCGGAGCTCTTGAGCACGCACCCCTAAGAAGAGCACTCATTCACTCACTTATCACTTGTAAATAAAGCACCCTCCGGGGCATTGTTTGTAACTTTACTCAACTGTGTTTGTGTTTTCCCTCTGCCTCGCTACAATTTATACATATATATATATATATATATATATATATATATATATAATATTACTGCCTCAATGGCATAAAGATGGCATAAAAAGTTAATTGTTTGTCAGATGGAAGTTATAGTAGTCCAATAATAAACCCGAAACACATGTGGTTGTTGCCATGTGGTTGATGCCACATATGACAGTCACGTGGCATCTGTGCAGTGTCAATCCAGACAAAATTTCTAACCGGCATGCACTGCTTTAAGACAGAATTCGAAAGCACCTTATTGCTGCATCCCAATTCGCATACTATCCATCTTAAATAGTATTTTAAAATAGAATTAGTATGTCTATTTAGTATGTTGTATGTTCAAAAGAGTATGCCAAAGGTTCCTGGATGGTTTACTATTTCCGGTAAAAATTTAAGGATAGAAGCATCCATACTCTAACAACTGATATTGCCAACAGTACATTGTGAGTTGGACATGAATTCGATTAAAACTACAGATGCGGGTAAAAAATGTGTAAAAACTACAAACATGAAAGAAGCGCGAGACAAAACGTCAAGTAGAGAAGCAAAGGTGTTTGTATGACTGTATATTAATATCTTGCCCACTGGAAAATATTTAAATTGTGTTTTCGTTATATTTTTTCTCCACCAATACTGAACTTACATAAAGAACTGTTTGGATATTAATGTCTGAATGCATAGTTATTCAAAGACCTGAGAAGATTTCTCTGCATGAAAGACTCGTGAATGGGAAATTAAACTGCTGCTGCTTCTCCAGTAAGGTAGCAAATGTGGATTGTGTGGATGATAGGGCTCATAACTAAGCAACACAATGATCTGTTAACGAGGAAGTAGTTTATCCCAAAGCTTGCAAACTCTTCTGTTACACACTCAAAAGTATATATATATTTCCTCCACAAAAAAGTACATACTTTTAGGGCGTAGTATAAGTATGCAAATTGGGACGCAGCATGTGTGTTGTATTCATGTAGTTGTTGTGTCAAGTGATGCCCCATGCGTTTGTTTCAAGAGCTTTTGTTTACACCATATGATTCTCTTGTTCTGTTTCCCGCCATTTGTTAATGTTTCTTAGTTCCCTTAGTAATATATATATATATATATATGAAGATGTGTGAAGTTTATTTATAAACTAATTTTGAGAGGATTACATGAAGATCACATGATCACGACTGGTTCTGCATTAGCATGTATGATTCACCAATCAGGCCAATCCTAACCCATTATAAAGAGCCAGGGTTTTTCACTACAGTCATCTTCGATTTGAAGAATCCCCCCTTCCACCCCTACCACTTCACCTTTCCCTCCATAGGGCGGCACGGTGGCCCAGTGGTTAGCACTGTTGCCTCACAGCAAGATAGTCATCGGTTCTAGTCCTTTAACAGGCCGGCGGTCGTTTCTGTGGGTGGTTTGCACGTCTTCTTGTGCTTGCGTGGGTTTTCCCCGGGTCCTCCGGTTTCCTCCCACATTCCAAAAACATGCACAACAATTGACTTGATCAATCTAAATTTAGCACTACAGTAAATTTCTCATCCAGCTGCATATCTCTTCATAGCATTCATTTTAGTCATTAGCTCTTAGCAAGGGGGAGTTGTCGAGATCTACCTGAGCTCAAGGCTCCCCTCTCCCCTTGCAAATGGGAGGGAACCCATGGCTCAAGGACCTTTTGAGTGTGAACTCTTAAAATATCTCCATATAGTTTTAAATACTTAGATTTTCATTTTGTTTAATGTAGTTTAGTTATTTTATTGCATCAAGTGAATTATTTGAATTATTTTAAGACATTATTTATGACTTTTTTCGCTACTGTGAAACTTAGAAGGAGAAATTTGCTTGTATGGATAAAAACTGCAAAGAAAGTGAATGACAAGATAGTGTAGACTGTCACTACTGTACCAAACTTTTTGCTTAACATTCCTGTTTGTGTTCAGAAATTCACTTGGTTTGAACATTATATGAAGGTGAGTAATTGATAAGTGAAATTCAATTTAAGGATGAACTACCATTTAAATCTTGAGATAACCAATGAACCACAAAGAGACAGAAATAGAAAAAAAGCTATTTAAAAAATTGATTCAAAACTGCGGTTAGGGACATCTAGTCAAAATTTTAGAGAGTGTGTAGCACTAATAGATTTGACTGTAGTGAATGCACTGTGGGGAGTTTTATCTGAGTCTCAGTGTGTTGTCATTAATTCTTCTGGAGAGTGTGTGTTTCATTGATTTGCTATACTAGCTTTTGCTTGTATTTTGGCAGTCTCCTACAGGCAAGTCTCACTGCAACAGCACTACCTGTGTAGCAACTTTTTGCAAATCTACCGTGCAAAGAGTAAGACGGAGCCCTGTCCACCATCACAAATGTGGACCCATTTCACAAGGCTGATATGACACATTCATTATAAGCTTAAGTCATTTAATTAAGGATTATGGTAATATGTTTTTAATGTTTTCAAAAAAATTTCAAAACAGCGAATGAACATTAAATGCATTTATGTATGTATTATATCATCTTTGTGTCAATTTTACAAGAAAAAAATGCTTACAAAATGACCACTTATGTGAGGTGTTTGTAATGCAGCGTTTATGGGGCTGAGAGTATATTTGACGTTATAAATCCCTATGGTTGCCGTCATCAGTCTCACACAGTTTTTTTTTTTTCTGAAAGTCTTGATAACACCAAAGAGGAATTTCTTTCTTTTATTATTTCAACAAATAGGGTTGTAAAAAAATATTTGTTGTGTTCTCCCATGCACTCTAAGTTTACCCAACCATGACGCCTTTCGCTAGCCATGAATGTGTGTTTTTAGTTGGCTAGCATAGCCAGTTTTGAACCAAATGTTCTTTTTGGTTAGCTAGAAAGTGCATATTATAATACCGTGCTACATTTTTAATCAATTATTGAGAACAGAATCTATTATACTGCCAGTGGGTGTGAAAATCAAATATTAAACGATTCAATTTTCTAATGTTAATACTCTGTAATATTAACTTTCAAGTCTGTGATGTATTTCTTACCCTGGGTTTTTTAATGCTGGAAAAAAATCACTTTATTCCACACCTTAAAAAGATACAACATTGGGGATGTTTAAAAGATTTTGAATAATACCATTATTGTGTGTAATCACCATAAATGTAAATCATTTTTATGCTATTATATTGTATTTCACAGGACCGTTTGGTTGGAGGTGAAAATCAAATGTTAACCGTTGCATCTTCTAAAATAAATATTAGAAAATATTTAACTTTCAGGTATGTGATTTATTGGTTTCTGCATTTTTTTGGCAGGACAAATCAATGTATGTTTCCACATTAAAATATTAGATTAATGCAATTTATAAGATGTTTGTATTTCTTCTGTACCATGATGTTGTTATGAATGAACCCCTTGCGGTGGCGTGCAGGTTTGAGGTGTGGATATTCCTCGGTGCTGGTCACTTGTATTCCCCATGCTTTCTTCCAAGCCTCATACAGCTGAATGTGCACTGGATAAACTCCGGAATGATGAGGGGCCACTGCATATCCCAAATCTACGGGAATACCATGCTCCTGTAACGAGAATTACACACACAAATAATTGTATTTAATAATTGAAAGGGCACATACACTAGCTTAAACACATAGGTATTTGCAACTGAGTACTGAAGCACTTGAAATTGACCACAGTGGACAATCACAAAATAATAAAGTAAATTAAAACAAAGCTTACAGAATAGATTCAGAATGTATGCTCTTTTCAAAATAATAAGCTTTTATGGTTTTCAAAGTAAGTCTTTGCCTACATTTGTCTTTTAAAATGTGTACAAATAGTGACATTGAATTTACATTAACATGAATTTGATTAGCTTACAAGATCTTTTGAGCCATTCAATCTTCTATGAGTATCATCTCATGAACTGCTTCACAGTTTAAATCACCCCATACAATTTCTGTAGTGTCATGGCAGAGAACCAAAATCAAATTTCACAGAAATTTAAAAAAGCAACTTTACTGTGTCACAAAATGTAATCATTTAGAGAGTTTAAAAAAAAATAGTTTTGTCGTTTAAATTCAAATATTTCTTCATATTATAACATTATATTTCATACTTTTTATAGTGTGATGATAATTTCTTCTTAGCGATGTAACTTTAGCGATGTAAGCTATTGGGTCATAGTGGTGTACATAATTCACAGAGAGCAGCCTTACCTCAGCCAATTATTCTGGAATCTACACTGGCTCTGATGTCACTATGGTGGGTAAGCTAGAGAATTAATTGTGGGTATATCTAATGGCCAAATCTTTGCTTTTATTAAATGTATCATTTATTCGTGCACAGATAGTCCAGTCTTAGGGCAAAGATTCATATATTTTTATGTCACTTTAATGATGTTGTTATAAACAAAGGCAAAGTAAGGCAAAAACAAGACAATAAATACAAGAAAAGGAAAATGCTTAGAAATTTGTGTGTGAGGAGGATACTATACTATTTGCTAGACAAATAAACTTGTTGTTCATTACATTGCCAAATTATTGTACCATAAAATAAACCATCGAGTATATAGCCATTAGCCATGAAAATACAAAAAGAAATGATAAAATATTTTATTAAAACTTTCTTTGCAAAGAACATTTACAAACTGTGTCGCAAACTTGTATGCTTGCAACCAAACCTCTAGAGGTATAGTTAGAAGCATAGTTCCTGGTTGTGTTCTATTCCCCGTTATCCCCTCTATGCCCTATTCCTTTCCAACATTGTAACACTTAAATTTAAATTGATAAAAAAAAATTTAATTATCTCTCTTCATTTGCTTTTTAAAGTATTTTCTAACACTTTAATTTTAGAGATCTTCATATTGACAATTGTGTTCCCTTTGTAGCGCACTTTAAAAACATTTATGCCATTATGAACTGTTTTTGAACAAACAAAAATTAGCATATGTTAATGGTTTTAATTTAAAGTAGGTTAATTATTATCTATCTGTACTGTAGGCCTAAATGACATGGGACTGTTGGTAGAACATTTCTGCAGTGGTTTGAATGCGTCAAATTGTAAAATTTGTAAAATTAATAAACTATATAATGCTTAATAATAATATTAATAATAATAATAAATTTGTAATAATAATAGTTATTATGATTATGTTTTTTCTTCATTTCTTAACAGACTAAGTGTAAATTACAACCATTATAATGATTTATATGATTTATATATGAGAAATATGTTTTAGAATAGAATAGGTCCCACTTTATATTAAGTGTCCTTAACTACTACGTACTTACATCAAAAAATAAATGCAATGTACTAACTGTGTTTATAATGTATTTGAGAACACTTGTGATGCTTTTGAGTTGGGATAGAGGTTGGGTTATGGACAGGTTTGGTGGCATGAGTAGGTTTAAGGGTGGGTTAAGGTGTAAGGGATGGTCAACAGTGTATTTACAAATGTAATTACAAAAGTTAATTACAGATGCAATTACATACATGTATTTAATCAAGCTTAAGTGCACAGTAAATACATGTATTTACACAATAAGTACACTGTAACAAACCATTAAATCCTGTGTAAGTACATATTAGTTAAGTCCACTTAATATAAAGTGGGACCGAATATTAAATATCCTCATTATTATTTGTAAAGGAAGCATATATAGGCCCTATATGTGCTGCTTACATATTTCTATTAATATGAAAATTGAGTGCATGTTTTTACTAAAACTAATATTGGAATTTATTTTAAATATTTGTGCGTATAAAACAATAATTTGCACAACAATGTTATGGGGTTTTTCTCTACAGAAGTTGTTACTCCACCCCATTCAGAGTATCATTGTGGATGTTTTACATTGTAACTAACGTGGTTAAAATGATGGATCTGCGACAAAGGAACTACAGTTTTTGGGAAACACTCATCACTACAACGTTCTTTTCTCAAATGATGCATTGTACTATGATAGTTCAGCCACAAGTTATGTCGTTGTTTGGGAAACACACCCCAGGATAGCTTGTTGCCTGGTTAGAAAACAATGACACATATTTACGAAGAGCAACTATTATCACTTTTTTAGTACAAGCTCAATTTATCTTTGAAGTGTTGAGTACTATTAAAATGAACAAGAATCCCATTTCTTTTTGCACACACATTTCCACAGCTGGCGCTCTCTCTCTAACCCACATTCGCACTTATCTTCAGAGTTACACAGAGCTACCTCACAGCTATTGATTCAAGACTTTATGATTTTTATGAAAAATCCATTTTCATTTTTAAATTTCTCTGGGCTAACTAATTAAAATCAGATAGGTGAGATAACAGACATCTGAAGAACAGCTGAGTCGATAACTGTATTTTGAGGTAAATTCTCAGATTTAACATCACATCATAAGGATCCAGTAATCCATAAAATTTCCCTCAAGACAGTACACACACACACACACACACACACACACACACACACACACACACACACACACACACACACACACACACACACACACACCCTCTCATGTACACTCATCTGTTAGCTTAGCCACACAGCTCTCTGATTTAATCAAGCCCCCAAACCAATAAAGGCAAATCAAAGCTGTCTAGATTATCAAACTTGTGCTCGTGGCCCATTAAAATTCTCTGTCAGCTCGACTCTAACAGTCTCCGGCCTCTGAGCTGACAGACACTGGTCTGTTTAACTCGCTGCTCAGAGTCAAGCGCATGCAAACTGCTTGACCTTGATCACTCATGTAGGAGATTTTTCTGGAGAATTTCTGAAGGGTGCCTTTTGTTGATTGCCATTGACTATGAGTAGAAACTAAGATCATATTCGAGAGAGGAAAACACATTAAAGCTGGCATGAAATGCAATTTCACCTCATCTATTTTTAAATGTATGTTATTGATCATATTGCGAATGATTCATCCATGCGCATGTTTCATTTTTCCCCCTTAAAGACCTGCAAACATTCAATCGACAGCCAATGAACCGAACAAAGAGATCTTTTTCTTTTTAATAATGTTAATAGATGTTTTACTCTGACATACATCATAGGTCTACAGTGGAAGAAAGAATCATTCTGTTACATTGTGACTTCTTCATCTTGCTGTTCTGTGATGGTGGATAATTTCCATTTACACAGGTTGATTTATCTTAAACTAATATTATTTTTCTCCTTTTCAAATTTTCAGCAAATTTAAATCTTAATTAAGACTTTTTTTTTTAAACCTATCTATTGAGCATTTTGCCTTACAGGGAGTCGGTGACTGTTGGCTGCTCCGCAAAATGTAGCTGATTTCAGGTTTTACAATCCTTGAGGGAACATTTGGCTCTCATAAAGAAGGCTAAACGTGATCCACACACACAGACATCAGCACTGGAGAAAAGAAAGCTGTAGCATGGCTATGGGTTACTTGGAGTAATTATTTTAACATTATTCAATAAGTACCAGTTCATTTTCACATTATAAACAGGTAAATGTTTTTTTTAAGACAAAAAATCCTAGATCTAAAAATAGTAAATGATAATCAAAACAGCATATTTAAACTAAAAACATTGCTGAAAACACAAATTAATTAAATAATTTGCCATTAATATAATATTTGTATGTCAGATAAAAAAAAATATAAATAAAAAATATTATTATTAAAAAATAAAAATATTATTGCTGCTTGTTCAAACTAATTGTTAAAAATGAGCTTGAACATCACAATTATTGTAATCTCTTTGGACATTTTATTTGTTTTTTCAATTCAATTCATGTTTATTTTTTATAGCGCTTTTACAATGTAGATTGTGTCAAAGCAGCTTAACATAGAAGATTATAGAGAATTAAAACAATGTCAGTACAGTTTTCAGAGTTGAAGTTCAGTTTAGTTCAGTTCAGCGTGGTTTAATTGTCATTGCTGAAAGTCCAAACACTGAAGAGCAAATCCATCGATGCGCAGCTCCACAAGTCCCAAATCAAGCAAGCCAGTGGTGAAAGTGGCGAGGAAAAAAACTTCACCAATTGACCAAGTGAAGGAAAAAATCTTGAGGGAAACCAGGCTTTGTTGGGCACAACCATTTCTCCTCTGGCCACACTTACGTGTGGAGCTGCAGTCTAGGCGCCGGAGGCTGGAGAGCAGTGGATGTCCATTGTGGAGAACTGAAGGTGTCACTGGTCTGTCACTGTGGTCTTTCAGAAATCAGTCTCACGTTCTCTGCTCCTCCATGACCACACCAGCATCAGCTCATGATACATGCCTGGTCCAGGATTATGGATCCCTTGGCATTATTAGTTTTATTTGTAATCCACATAAATTTGTCAAAATTAAGTTAACTTGATTGTTTTGTGTTGGAACATCATGAAGGAATTAAGCGACTGACTTTTTTGGCGCCACAATAGTAAATTCTGTTCCAGGCAGCTTATATTCACATGGTAATTAAAATTTAAATGATTTAAATTACTTTGTTTTCCTTGCCTAAAATAAGTTTAAATAACGAAAATATAACGAAATTGTAATAACTCAATTTATAAAGTTAAATATAACTCAATAATAGTTCCAAAACAATTCAGTTCCATAGAAAGGTTTCCCTTAATTTGATTAAGTTCCCTCAACATTTTTTAACAACCTTTTTTTGAGCGTACATTATGAAGTAGAAAGTAGATATATTTGGTCACACTACAGTACATTACTACTGTATTTGTAGAAAGAATCCTAATACTGAAAAATGTAGTTGGTTCCTTTCTGAAATATTGATAGTTCAGGTGCTCAGATATAAAACAAACTGAAACCCATTAAAAAGTTCACTGTAATGTGAACCCCCTCTTTATAGATAAAGATGAAATTATATTGGAAACAGGAGGAAAATAAACAACAGAGATAGTAATTATACAGATAAATCAATCTGTATATGTTATGTAACAGACTATTGTTTTCAAAAGAGCTTTGTTAAAACTTAATTTTAGTCACATTTTAATGCAAACTGCATTTGCATAAAAAACTATAAGCTAAACTGCTAAAGCCGTGGTGCATGACTCAAATTATAATTTAGCTGGCGGTTATGTTTTTAGTCAGAATTGGTACTTGTTTGTGACTTCCAGCAGGGGCACTTCACGCTCTGTTGTTTATCACTCACTCCACTGATCATATCACAGTGCAGGATTTCTAATATTCAAACTGCCAAATGAATGAACGATGAAACACAACAACACAGATGGACCGCTCATGACAACACTAACTCATATACTGCAGCATATAATGGTAGCTTTTTAGAAATGCCAATTTTAATTCGTATATACGAAGATAAGAAATTACCTCAAAAAATTATTAAAAGTCAATCCTGAGGTAAAGGCTACATTTGTCACAGACAATACAAATTGTAGCTTAATAAATAAATCATTTATTTTATTTAACATAGAATCTAACATAAATAAAATGTAAGGTAATTATATTTAGATATATTAAAAGTTTATGCTTTAGCTATAAGATTTCAGTTAACATTCTTTAAAATGTCTTCGGCAATGTTACGCAAAAAAAGAAATTCAAACAGGTTTGTAACAGCATGAAAGTGAGTAAATAATAAAATAAATAAAGTGAAATATGCCTTTTTTGTTGACATGAAAATATGAATTTAATAGAATATTACTTCAAATGAGTAAATAAAGAGTTTAATGAGACGTTTAATGTAAATAATGTAATATAATGTAATTCATATAGTTTTCTCAAATGGCTGATTTGTTCAGAAATTAATTAAATAGCTGTCACAACATTGACTCAACATTGTGTTTTTAATCAGAGATGAAATCTTGTTGTTGCTTAATACAAGATCTGATGGCCAAACTGACAACAAAGACAATATTGGGCCAAAAATTGACCTACTTTCTGAACAGTTGTACAGAATAAATTTTTAATGTAATCTGTATTTATGTGGTGGATTTATTGTGTATGGCCATACAGCCAAAGCACTTCACAATCATGAGGGGGAGGGGGGTGGCTCTCCAAACCACCACCAGTGTGCAGTATCCAATTGAATGATGCGACGGCTGCCACAGGGCAATGGCGCCAGTGCACTCAACACACACCAGCTATAGGATGAGTGGAGAGACAGTAGCCCCTTTAACACAGTGATACCGGTAAATATCCGAGGTCATGATGAGTAAAGACTGATGGAGGGAACTTGGTCGGGACATCCCTACTATTTATGAGAAGTGCCATGGGAATTTAGAATAACCACAGAGAGTCAGGACCTCAGTTTAATGTCTCACCCAAAAGAAAGTATTCACTGACAGTATGGTGACCCCTTCACTATACTGGGGCATTAGGACACAGGTGGCAGTTTGAACACCCCATGTTGGCCTCAATAACACCACTTCCAACAGCAACCTAGTTTTCTCATGTGGTCTCCCATCCAGGTACTGACCAGGCTCAGCCCAGCTTAGATTCAGTGAGTTCAGGGTGATATGGCTGTGGCTATATAACACATTTTGACGTGTTACTTGTGTCATACTGTATATACATATGATTTAAATATGAGCAATAACATCTTGAACTTTACAGACATATGGGGCTCTATTTTGACGGTCCATGCGCAAAGCGCAAAACGCAGGGCGCAAACGCTTTCAGGGCGTGTCAGGACGCGTTTTTGCTAATTTAAGGACGGGAAATCTGCCTTGCGCTTCGGCGCATGGTCTAAAAGGGTTGAGTTTATTTTCTTAATGAGTTATAGGTGTGTTTTGAGAATAAACCAATTAGAGTCTCATCTCCTATTCCCTATAAGAGTCAGCTGCGTCGCGCCAAGAGCGCATTCGCTATTTACAGGACGCAAAGTAAGTCTAAGTGGAAAACTGAGCATTTCACAAGCAAACAGTTAACAGTTAACAGTTTTTTTATCAGAAAACTGTTAAACAGAGCATCTACTGCGTGAGAATGAGAGATAATGGATCACTTTCATTTTCGCTCTTGGATAGGGAAACCTTTACGCACAGACATCAATTAGTCTATAAATAAATACTTTTGTTTGTTAAACGCAAATATTCGTTTCAAAACTATTTCTAAATTCAGTTTTAATTTCCAGCAAACGAATAAATGAATAATAATAGCAAAATGTGCTCAAAAACCTGAGTTATATCCTAAAACCCATGCTTTGCCCCATATGGTCTAAAACCTGACAGGTAGGCAAATCTAAGCTTGTTTTTAATAAAACAAATATACATATGGATATAATAAATAATACTGCAAATAATAATAACATTATACAAAAGCAAATTGTTATGAATGAACTGAAAAAGCCTCCCGAGATGAAGAAGACATAAAAGCAGTGGTTTTTCATATTTATGTAGGCTAGAAAATAATGTTTTGTAATATTTTAATCCTTTATATTTATATTCTATATCTATTCTTATTATATCCTATATATATCCTTAATATTTACATTTTTTCAAATGTAAAGATATTTGCCTATTGGTCTCTTGTGCGTATTAAGCAGTGCTAAGCGAGGCGCAACTCTGCACCGGAGTTTAGACCGGGTTAGTTTTGGTCTAATGAAAAATCTATTATAGATTCTCAAAATAGCAACGCGCCAGCGGTCTACCTCAGAACGCCCTCCTTTTTAGACCAGAACTCCTATGGGCGCAAAAATGAGCGCTAATGCATTTGCTATTTAAACAGCGTAGGGCAACGCCTCAAAACCACTCTTGCGCCAAGCTGAAACTACCAAAAGACTACTGCGTCATGCCTTGCGCCACACTGCGCCGGGTGTAGGATAGGGCCCATAGGGTTCATCATGAAGTGAGTTGTTGTCCTGCATAATATTTGTAAATCCTAATTGATCATAAGTGTAATTGTGAGAGAGAGAGATAGACAAATAATTGTCCAAATTACATCACAAATGCTTGAGTGGGACTGCACAACTCAATGGATGGATCAATGGATGGGTCACTTGCGTGACAATTAAGTTCTTCAGTGGGTTGTGCAAATATCCTCTTCTATAAAGATTCAGCTGTAGTGTTTGGCTTCCAAATACCTTCTAACTAAATAAAACAGGTTGTGTGACAATGAGGAATGCCAATGATCAGTCCTTTGTGTGCCAGCATACAGCAAGAGTCTTAGAAATTTTCTTGGAAGTTCCATTTTACAGACAGAGGAAGACAAACAGGAAGCAATAGAGAGGAGAAAAAGTAGGTGATGCGAAAATGGAATGAACCGAATTTGCTCTCTGGTCACTTATATCAATTTACAGTATGCATGTCATTCTGTAGTACATAAAGGGTAAATATATGTGTCGGAGTATTACATTCTGCTGAAAAAATCTCTCTGAGTGTGGTATTAGAGTGCTGCTTCACAGAAAAAAGGGGGCAGATAAATGCAGGAGTGTTAGTGAGAGATAACTAAATGAGAGCACACACACTCTCTTTCTTACTCTTCACATTCAGGTGTAGGTTTCAATGATTCTGTCAAAATCATGAGAGGCACTTCTCTATTTGAGGAACAACTGAAGTCTCAAAGCACCTGTAAAACATGCATAATTACAGTTCATTTTCTGACACATGACTCGCTGTCGGCCTAATGGTTCCTTAGGTGAAAGAGTTTTTGGCTGGATATGATAATGTGTGGATGATGGTTTTGTTCAGTGATTGTGTTTGGGTGAGGGGTAGTTTTTCTCACCAAAGCAAAGTCTTTGTTCAGGATCATTTGTTCCATCAGAGAGGATTCATTGTGGAAGAGATGAGGCTGCATATGACTCCACATATGAGGAAACCACCAGAATTCATCAACATATTTCAGCAACAGATCATCTCCATCATCTTCCTCCTGCGTACCTGCACAAACAAACAGTAGTTCAACTAGACATTACGACTGAGGACACTTATGCCCATTGCACACTGGACACAAAGTGCTGCACCTCACGCCACATCTTTTACATTGTAAATATTATTTTCTGTAAGAGTACGCACACCAGGACCACCATTTAGCATCTGTTTGCATTGCTTTGAAGATACAGCGCAATACAGCGCATCTGGTGTGCGACCATCTTCAAAAAACATTTACAAATTCCAATAAAATCCAGTACACTTATTAAAACTTTCAGTACACTTTTCTATTTTTTTGTTTGTCTATCAAAGATTTCCAATATTAATGCACAAATATTTATTCTGTATAGCTAAAAATACTAAAATGCTAAAAATGTGATCATTTTTTTAAACATCATTATACACTTAATACATCATACTATCATTATTATAATGTTTATAATACACAAGGTTGTCTTCTCGATTACAAAACATGCGTGTGCATGTCTATTTATATATTATAAGTGGGCATAGATAATTTTTTTTAATCTAGATTAATCTCCCTGCAATCTTGAAATGAATCTAGATTAAAATGGCTCATTTGAATTCTGCCGAAGTCATTCAGAATATGTGTGCTACCCAAATAATACGTTTTTGATAATGGGTTTCTCAAGCCAGGTGGTACATTAAACCAGGGGCTCATCTCCTGTTTCCAAAATGCATCACAAACTGCTTGAAAACTGTTCTACTATGATCATTGGTGATGAAAATAAATGATGTTCAATAAGATGTACTTGTGTTCAAAAACTGTTTATTCAGTGAGATATAATTTAATTTAGGACATGTGGCGTATGCATATATTAGTGGCATTTTTGAAGAAAACACAGCAATCAAACTATAACTGTCATGTAAGACTTTTCGCCATATTTTCCGACAAGATCCACACACGCGCGGCTGTCAGTAAAAGACACACACGCACACACACACACACACGCACGCGCGCACACACGCGCACACACACACACGCGCACACACACACACACACACACACGCAAGCGCACACACACATACACATTGCGAAATGTGAACGTTTTTTTTCTTTCCATTTGGCGTGCGTTATTAAATTCCATAACACTCTCACCAGTCCTTACTCCTTATTTGCGTCTAATACCCCAGTTTGTCACGGGGGCATAAATGAAATGTTCATGAGTTAAAGTAAAACTGCTGAACTGCAGTTAAAGTCACCCAAAATTACAGGAAACTCTTACATGAAAGCACTTCATGTAAACACCTTAATAATATTATTGTCTATTAAGACAAATAACTAGATTACTGATGTCCATGTAAACGTAGTCAGTAGTGTCTTCGAAGTAAGCGAAAGATCCAGAATTCCATCCTGCTGATTTGATTCAGAAGGGCACTTTTTTGTCTGACAGCTCAACGGTCAGCTTTACATCTGCTCTAAAATATCAAGGTGACCCAGCTCCAAACCTAACTTTGAGAATAGATTAACGGCGCAATTTTTTTTAATCGCGCGGTAAGAGTCTCGCATAAACGAAGCACGTTAACGCCAATAGCAGCCAACCACTTTATTCATTCGTTTTCTTTTCGGCTAAGTCCCTTTATTAATCTGGGGTCGCCACAACGGAATGAACCGGCAACTTATCCAGCATATGTTTTACGCAGCAGATGCCCCTCCAGCTGCAACCCATCACTGAGAAAGGCCCACCTCTTTTGTATATATGTAATGTGAAGTGCTGGCAACTCAGGTGCGGATCCAAATGCAGAGTTTATTAGGAGAATCCACATGTTTACCAGCAATCTACAAGGATTAGATTGCTGGTGATTGCGACAACATCTTTAGGAGTAGAAAAAACATACATTTAAATTCATGTTAATGCAAAAAATATATAATATTATTATATATAAATATATAGTATTGCCCCTATCATATTAACATGGTGCTATTTTTGGCATGCTAATATTTTGAAAAAAAAAAAAAAAAAACATTTTAAGATTTAGTTCTAGAGCCCCTTAAAGCTATACTTTTTTTCCGATAGTCTACAGAACAAACCATCGTTTTACAATAACTTGTCTAATTACCCTAACCTGCCTATTTAACCTAATTAACGCAGTTAAGCCTTTAAATCGCACTATAAGCTGTAAAGAAGTGTCTTGAAAAATATCTAGTTAAATATTATTTACTGTCCTTATGGCAAAGATGAAATAAATCAGCTATTAGAGATGTGTTATTAAAACTATTATGTTTAGAAATGTGTTGAAAAAAATCTTCTCTCCTTTAAACAGAAATTGGGGAACAAAAATAAACAGGGGGACTAATAATTTAGGAGGCTAATAATTCTGACTTCAACTGTCTCTGCACTACAATAAAACCTAAAACTTGAACTGAAATAAAAGCAGATTATGTAAAACTCTTAAAACTATGTGCAAATAGTATAATCACATAGATAATACAATTATAAAAACCTCTTCCTGTCTTAAGTAGGTGGTTCTTGGCCAGAATAAGCAACAATTAGCAAAACTAATCAGTGCTAATACAGTTATCCACGCATATGAACACACTTCAGAAATAGAATGTATAAGTTCTAACACGATGAACCAGAAAAACTTCAGAGTTGCTATGGCAGAAATCTGTTACCATGCCAATCAGAACATTACAGAACGTCTGTTGGCAGGCATTCATTTTAATTCACACATTAGTTTTCTCTGCATCAAACTTACCGGTATGAAAGAATTTCCCAGAAAATCCCAGGTTAAAGGTGAAGTTGGAGACGTACGACCTCAACGTGTTCTGCGTTTCCAGAAGAGCCTAGAAGATAAAAAGATCAAACAATATATTCACCATCCACTACATTTTCTTTTATCCATTATATATCAATCAAGCGTAATATACACCAAGATATTGAACTACTCTGAATTAACATTACGCGGTAGTATATGCACGTGTGATTTGTGTATATGCGTCTAAGGATGTGATCGATCTTTCCAGCATGAGTAATGGCATTTGGGTTTGGCAGGTGCCTCATTGCGGCAGTTCCAATAAAACAGTCTCATATATTTCTAGCCTAAGACACCATGCAAATACAATCAATATCTGTCTGACAACTGACAGCGAGTGTGAGCGTGTGTGTCACTGTTTTGTAGGATATATGGTAATATCGCAGAAGGCAGGAAGGGGCGTGTTGGCTGACTTAGTCGGTGTCATCAAGTCATTACTCACAGAGCTCGGGAAGATATGCTGACACACACTCCAGCACATGGCAGACACACACAACCAGGAGAGCAGGTGTAATATATTTGATTTCATCCTCTGCTGAGAGTGTGCCAGTTATCCCTGATGACATTTGGGTAATTAGGAAAGGTGGGCTGTAACGTATTACATTTACGTTGTTACCTGAATTC